TGGGGCGGGTTGAGCTTCGGTGTTTTATTTGTGGTATCTGTTAACATGGGTGTGTTTGCCCTCGGTTCCGGGATGCTACCGGATAGCTTTCCATGTTTATGCATGTGGCTAGGTTGTCAGGGTTCTTTGCGCAGAGTCTCGGCCTACAGCTACCAGCTGCAAAGAGGAACGATGTGGTAGTTTTGGAACAGCAAAGGCGTCAAATAGTTCCTATTCATTCATTGACTCATGCCCCGGTAACCACAAGCTACGTGATGAGCAAGACTTTTGTGCTGCGTACAGGTGCAGTTTGGTTCAGTTCCTTTAGCAAGCACAAGGGCTTGCTGGCACTTTCGCTGTCTCTGCAACTTGGTTCGAGGCCTTTAGCTATTCCTACTTTTCAGCATATACCGCTCTGGCTCATTTGCCAGCGCAACACCGGATATACTGATAGATAATTCAAGAGACAGGACGGCTCTGGTTTCTGCACAGAGTACGCCGATAGTTACCTTACCTAGAATAAGGTTCTGGGCTCCATTCTAGTATAGTCGTAATACGGAGCCCTAAGGAAATCACATTGGCAACCTTGTTCCATCTTGATCTTAGAGCCCTGGGCTGATCTCCCAGCTGTATGCTGCGGTAAAAACAAGCACGTGACCCCATATCGTTCTCAGGATGCTTTGGCAGATGCCTTGGCGAAGGGTGCTGCACCATGGCTCAGAACTGTTCTATGACTTCATGGCCGGACAGTCGAATTGGATCGTAAGACTGAGGTGAGCAGTGGTGATTGGTGGCACTTGTAGCTGTCACCACTTCTCAAGATGGACGGTCTTCGCTTGCGCCGTAGTTGCTATGTAAGTTGACCGTCGGTCTTATCAGAATGACTGGCAGTGCAACACTTGCCTTGTTACCTTCATAGCCGCTTTTTCATAATAGTTTGCATCTGCGGGCAGCTTGGTGCTTGATCATCGGGTGCCAGGTCTGAGAGAACATGATTTTCAGACTCAGCACTCAGACTCGCCATAAACAGTTCTGTTCACGCTTTCTTGATGACTCCGGCCCTCCCTGCCTGCTCCCGAACTCTGCAGTGCAGCTCAGGCCATGCTGAAGCAAAACCAAGGCCTTGTCCGCGGCCGCTTGGGGCAGCAGTCGCTCGCGTTGTGGAGAGCGGTTTGGTTGTGATTCGGATTTGGATCCGTATAGTAGCCTCGGGGATGCCGGAGCCGGTCAGAGTTTGGGCGCTGCCCGCTTTGTGCTTGAACGCGTGCGCCCGCCCACCAAGACCACGAAGAGAAGAAGGCAGCAGCTTCGCAGCATGCGACCACGCTCCAGAGCACGCTGAGCGAGGTGCAAGATACCTTGGTGCAGTCCAAGGCTGTGGCAAACCAGTATCGTGAGGAGGCGGATTCTTGGAGGAAAGCTCACGAGAAGCTGCAGGAGGATTTCAGCTCAATGAAGGCTCGATGCCGATCTGCTGAGCTGCAGGTGCAAGAGAGCCAAAGCGAGCTCCAGATCTGCCTGTCTGGCAAGGAGCGCGCGGAGCAAAGCGTCCGAAGTCTCCAAGATCAGGTGGCTAAGGTGTCTCAGGAGCTGAGCTCACTACAACATGCGCTGGACCAGAAGGAGTCCGACTTGACGGCTTCCGAGATGCGTTTGTCTGAGCTGCAGATCAGAGCTGAACGGGTCAGCCGCGAGCGGACAGAGCTGGAGGTTGAACTCTCGAAGGCCCAGCAGGAGACGCAGCAAAGTGCGCAAGAGGCCCGTAGCTTGCTCCAGCAGAAGACCTCCCAACTGAATTCCCTTCAGCTTGTGCAGCACCAGAAGGAGTCGGATTTGGCAGCTTCCGAGATGCGTCTGTCGGAGCTGCAGGACCGGACTGAACGAGTCACCCGGGAGCGGAGAGATCTGGAGCTTGAGCTGGAGAAAGCCCGGAAAGAGTTGGAGCGAAGTGCTGCAGAGGCCCAGAGCCTGCTCCAGCAGAAGACCTCTGAATCTGCAGAGTTGCGTGCTGCCCGAAACGAGACCCGATCGCAGCAAGAACAAGCTGCTCTCCTGCAGAAAGGCTTAGAGGAGTCCCGCCAGAAGTGTCGGAGTCTACAGCAAGAGCTGGCCGAGTCATCAAATCAACTTCAAGTGGCTGCTGATCAGCGCCGACAGTCTTCCCTGAAGCGCGAGTACCAGGAGCGTGCCATTCTGGGCTTGGAAGAGCAGGTCGTCCGATTGAACGAAGAGATATGCCAGGCCAACGACCAGCTGGAGAACGGGCAGGCGAAACAGCGATCGGCCGAGCTCCAGATCCGCGAGATGGAGCAAAATGCTCAAGTGATGGCCCGGAAACAGCACAAGGCACTGGACCTCCATTCTTCCAAGGAGGAGGCGGCTGCAGCAAGACTGGTAGAGCTGGAAGCCTCTTTGAGCCAACTTCGCTCGCAGCTGGCTCTCAGGGAGAGCGAGGCGCAGCACAACGAACGTCAGGCCGAGAGCACGGCCGCGCGCGTGAAGGTTTTGGAGGCCAAGGATGCCGCCTGCGGCAAGCGCACCGCTGTTGCTGAAGCTCGGGCCGCGGAGCTGGAGTCCAAGTTGAGGCAGCTCCATGCGACTGCAGCACATGTGCAGGAACAGCTGGGCCACTCCCGGGCAGAGCAAGTGCAGCTGGCATCAGAGAAGTCACGCCTTGAAGAACAGTGCTTGGCATGTCAGAGAAGGCTAGCAGATGCCGAGGTGCAGGTACAAGATGCCCAGGCGGAGAAGGAGCGCTGGAAAAGCCAGCAAAAGATCCATGAGGACCGGGCCCTGAAATGGGAAGCGAAGGTTGCCGAGCTGCTCAAGGAACTCCAGAGGTTCCAAATCGAAGGGCCTCAGCTGCCTTTGCATGGCTGGAGCGAAGCAGGGGATGAGCTGCTTGGCCTCAGCGATTTTTGTTTTTGTTTTTGGGAAGACGGGCGGGGGATTGGGAGGCATTTCAACTCGAAACCCCTTAGGTTCCAGAGACCAAAAGTCAAAGGCCATTTGGGGCTTTCGGTCTTCTTTGGCAGGGCTCCTATATGTACTATAGGGTACTTCAAGAGCTTTGCACGAACTACGTTGACAGCAAGGGTTTCCGTAAGTGGCTTCCTCCCTCTGACGGAGAGCTCGTGGCTCTAGGAGGGCCTTTGAGGTTTCGAAAAGGAGGGGTCCTGATCTGATGCCAGTGATGGTGACCGAAGATGTGTCTTCTGGCCCTCGGCTTCGGCTGTATATTCAAACCCGGCCCTTCATCAACCCGAGCTGTTAGAAACTTCGCAAGCCCGAACCTCAACCGTTAACCCCGAAACCATCCGTAAACCCGACACGCGATTTGCACTCCCTGGCTTTGCCCAGGATTGGCCCGCTGCTTCGGCAGTTCCAGGCTGCCTGCATGTACTTCTTTGGCTGTTGTTGACCTGTGGTGGTCATGACTTGAGGTTTGTTCCCGCTTTCGTCCCCTAGGGTTCTGTGGTTTACATAGCTTTGAGCGAGCGAGTGACAGAGAGGAAGAGAGAGAAGGAGGGAGAGAGAGAGAGAGAGAATGGCATCTTGATTTGTAATGTCTTCGGGTAGTCACCGGTACAGAGCGCGGTGTGATCTTGCAGAACTTGGCAAAGCCGGAGCCAGAAACTCTCCATGCTTTCTGCTGTCATTGAACATCGGAAGCCAACGAACCCTGGCCAGAAGTCTCCCGCCCACACGACGGCAGCTGAGATGCAGAGAAGCTTAAGTGTTGTTTTTGTCTGTCTTACTGTACCCTCTGGTCGTGCGCAGAAGGGACTTCCGATGGACTGGTAGGCATCTTCCAGTCAGCTTATTTGAAGGCAGACAGTGCAGATAGGATGTACAGATCTTTGCATCCTGAGGTCCAGTCCTGCCTGCTGGAAGCGCACGGAAAACTTGAGGAGACTGGCCCCGATACTGTAGCAACGTTGATGACTGGCTGATGGCAATGCCAGACATTCGATTTGTCCTTTCGGGGAGTGCTGAGCTGCGCTTAGGGGCCTGTGGGACACGAGGTTTAGGAAGATGCAGTGGCAACGGTAGAGGCAGTCGATGTAGTAGTGATAGTAGTAGCAACAGCAGCAGCAGCAGCAGCAGTTGCAGTAGCAGTAGTAGCAGTAGTCGTGGTGGTGGTGGTGGTGGTAGTAGTACCAGCAGCGGTAGAGAGAAACGAGAAGTAGAAGGGTCGTTCGGCCGCTCAACAGCTTCGAAGGAGAGTTATTTGGAGGCTCAGAGGAGGCTGGTCGCCGCGGAGGCCATGGAGAGGGCACGATTCCGGCTTTCAGGGTCTTTGGGTTGCTGGTGTACCTCAACCTGCCAGAACGTGGCTGTTTATGGACATATACAAGGGGGCCCTGGGGGATGCTTAAGGCAAGTTCTTTTGAGGGGCGTAGGGTGTTTGGAGTTGTTGGGTGAATCTTGCAGTGAAGGATGTGTCAGGATACTTTTGATTTTTTTGTGATCCGTGTGCTTGAAGCACCAAACTCCTCAACCCCTCACCTCGGCGCTGCAGAGTTGAAGGAGGGTTTAGGCTCGAACGCCCTAAAGGCCAATACTCGGTGTGGTAACATTGAGCATGTTTGCAGTTGGGCTCGTAGTAACTATGCCCCCCCGTCTAAAGTCTTGCAACAGGAGCGGCTTCAAGAGCTGCGTGAGGAATGTGCCTATGGCCGGGCTCTCAGCATCAGCTCTTGTGTCGGAATTCGTCAGCCTCCGCAACCCTGAAACCCCGTCTCAAGTTGTATGCGGCTTGCCAGTGAAACGAGGCAGGCTGTGCATGCCAGCCCGATGTCCTGAGCGAATATACCATCGGACTTAGGGTTTTAGATAAGGGCTGCCGAAGAGTTATACGCTCGACACATCTGTGAACACTCATGGTGAAGGCTCAGAGGACGTGTTACTCGACACCAGCTGTGTTTCCCTCTCCAATTATGCTGTCTGTGAAATGGACGAGGCATTTACTCAGACTCTTCTCGGGTAGCGAGCCTGCAAGGCAATCTGTGGACTAGAAGCCCAGTATGTAGTCCCGTCACCTTCTGATAGATGTTCCTTCCAAGGTCCTCCTCTGCCAATGCCCGAGCGAGTGGTTGCACCGGTTACGGAGCCCAGACATGTCGATGAGCTTGGGATGTCTAGAAACAATTGCTGGTAATGTGTCGGAGGGGTTCTAATGTCGTCTGCTATCAATGGCAGTGACAATCGAATTCTAAGTAAGTGAGGAACGGAGCAGTCCGTCAGAGGCCGGGGAAAGTGAAGATAGTCGCACAAATCACTATACTATTATACCGGCACGGGCATTGGCAGAAGCATCCCTTTTGTACCACAGCTAGCCGAATCAAGTCCTTATGCGAACCGCAACTAAAACCCGTAAACCCCAAGCAAATCCGTAAACCCTAAACCCTAAACAAATTTAACCAAACCTCTAAACCCTAGGAACCCTTACGAATCCCAAAGTGAGCACAGGAGCCCGTCGTCGAACCGGTGGCCAGCCCGGGCTGGGCTTCGTCACTCGGAGCGGTTTAGACGGTTTTGGGTTTAGGGTTTAGGGTTTTGGGTTTCGGATTAGGGTTTAGGGTCTTCAGGCGTCGATATCTATAAGGATACGGTATAGGGTTTAGGGATGTATACTGCCCGTGATCTACAATGACAATGTACACCGTGCTGTAGTTTGCAATACTTGTAGGGAGAAGAACCGACAATAATGCGCACGGGCGTAGAACACACTATGAAGCAACGTGTAAAGTAACACTCAACGTTAGTGAAGCTTCAAGTGGTTAGGTAGAAGAAAGACGGTCGTGTGCGGGGTATTATGCAAACTGTCTAACAAAACACAGATGGCATCGCTGGTCGACAGAGGATGAGAGGCATTCCAAACTCGAAGCGTTGTACTGTCATCTCTGACTCTTGCGTAGCTTTGCTACTTGTGGCATATTGTGTCAGCAAGCCTCAACCCGAAGCCTCGACCAGGCCCGCCCGCGACGAGATGCGGCTGCGTGAGGCGCAGATGAACGACCTTGTGCCCCTTTGTTACATTGTTGCGGTATACTGGTGAAGTTGCAACATTCGGGGTTTGAGGGGCCGACGGGTAGCGAAGCTCAACGCCACGTCGATCATCGTAGGAGCCCCAGAGCATAGGCATAGCACCATCACAAAAGTCATTTTCGTGACAATGCAAGAACAAGCCCGGGCGTTTTAAAGAGCTAGACTCCTTGACAGTCTCAGGGCCATGCGAGTACATGGCCACTGAGGAAGCAGAACGATGCCTTGTTCGCCGAAAACCAGGGTTACAAAGATCCTCGGTCGGCAGCCATCGCACTGTTTCTCTTGAGGCCTTTCGGGGTGGGAGCGAGTGTAACCGTAATGATAAGGACAGGCGCACACAGGTTCTGTCATGTGTTGGATGATGAGTTAGGACTTGTTCTCCGATACAGGGCTTCCGTTCAGCATCGCGATTGCCCAACAGCACATTCCTTAAAGACGCAGCTTTGACAGTGTAACTCGTTGTTTGCTCTGGAACAGAAGATATTGTTGCCTAGCCGTAAACCCAAAAGGTCCATCCCAATGAGGAAGTCGGGACCTAAGGCCCAAAAATCAAGATATTTCGGACTCTCCACGGCCACTGAAGCCCAAGAACCCTAAACACATGGCCCTCAGCAGTGAACCCTTCAGAAAAGTCAGGTCAGCCAAGTTTCGTTCGAGGCGAAGCCGCTTGGCTTAGCTTATGGAGGCTTAATCGGGGACTTCAGGCTTCGTGAAGTGGTCTAAAAATCGGCCTCTTTGTCTGTATGTATGCCTGTCTCTCTATGCACGTATGCATGTACATATGTACATATGCATGCGGTTGAAGAAAAGCATATCTGTTCATGCAGTGCTGGCAGAAGATAAATACCGGTAGATGTAGAAATCCACGAATGGAGCGTATGGCATGCCCATTGCAGCTGTGCATCTCCCATTCGGCCTCAAGCCCGAAGGTCAGTACGTCAGCCTAGGTCCATGAAACTGGAGGCATCGGTTCAGCGGCTGCAGGGCGATGTGGAGCAGATAAATGCAGCGCCTCGGAGTTTCTGGAGCGTGGGCGATCTTTAAGACTTTAAGGGCTACGAGGCGGTTGCGGGGTGGAGGGGGAGGGGGGGGGCGGGGAGGGGGAGGGGCGTTTTGGTTACTTTGCCTTCGGTGCCTGTGACTGTCCAAAGACCCTGACACGGACCCTGGCTTGCTCTGTCCGATCTTCATAGTTGTAAAGTGTCAAAGCTGCTGGAGCATCTTGCTTGCTCCTGCCCCAAACGGCGGAGCTTCTTGAGGATGTTTTGTCACTGTTTCGGGGGCCGGTCCCCGCTTTACTGGCTCTGCACTTCGGAAAGTCTCCAGTTGCGTTTGTTTTCTGCTGGCTCTGGTTCATTGCCGAAGAGATCTCCGCAAGAAGCGATGCCTTTTGGCTTGATTCCTATCGGGAGCAGACGAGGAGTCGAGCATGTCCTATGTCAGGGTACATTGTAGACCCCGATAAAACTGTGGACCGCCCAAACCCTGTACGGCCGTTCAGGAGGCAACCTCCGAACCTATTTTCCCAACACCCCGGAAACAGTGTACATGACTCCAGATAGACCCGCTGAACAGTCTGTCCAATATCAGAGTTCTTGCAGTTAGCGCTAAACCCTAAGCCCTAAACCGGGCCTCAGGCATGTTGTTGGCTGTGTAATCAGATCCCAGACCCGTGCAGAAGCCCTGCCAACGCGAGCCCTAAACTCCCGACGACCAGGTCCCTCAAGACATGCCTGCAAAAGCCCGTGTACGTCCTCTTTCTCAAGAAAGTTTCCACAAGCAGCGCCATACAAACATCCCTTGAATCAGCCACTTAAACCAACCAAAGCCAAGAAGGAACCCCCTCCACCCTATTATAGGGAATTGTGCTGTTGATCCTATCCCTTAAGAAGCCCTCTTAAAGGGAATCCTTATAGCATCCCCAAAAAGGGGCCCCTTTAACCGGAGCCCTTGTAGCACCCCTTACGAGCGCCCCTTAAAAAAGGGGGCCCTTGTAGTATCCCCTTTTAACACGAAGTCTCGCTACCCATAGGCTCCTTAGTAGTTCCTTTTCGGGATTTCCTTATAGGATTCTAAATACAAACCATAGAGAA